TTAGTTTTTTGAGGAAATTCCATACTGTTTTCTATAATACAAAGAATATTTAATTATAAAAATTACTTAAAAATACTCATACTCTTAAACAAAATCAAATAGTGCCAATGGAAGTGAAAGTACACTTTTTTTACATCACTTTATAAGCAGTCACAGGTTGTAGCAGTGTATCTTTGTAGGGACTTTCTAAGGATATGCAGACACATGAACATACATGTAGTTTCCCCTCCTATACAAATAGATCCTCCTAAAGAATGTTCTACATTGATTTTTCCTAACAATGCATTTTAGTGGGGACACAGAATATAAAAGTCTCCCTGTTTTTAAGTGTGCATACTCACTGTGTTCTGTATCACCACCACTAATTCCAGGATATTTCCATTGTCCCCAGAAGAAACCCTGCAGCTATTAGCAATATTAATTCTCCCTCTCACCCATCCCTAGGCAACCACTAGTTTCTGCTTTTTTGGATTTATTCACTCTGGACATTTAATATAAATCAAATCATGCAATGCACATAGTCTTTTGTGTCTGGCTTATATCTCTTAGTATATCTTCAAGTTTATCCATGTTGTAGCAGGCATCTGTACTTCATTTGTTTTTAAGTGAAGGTTTTATTTATTTATTTTTAGAGAGATGGGAAGGCAGGGGGAAAGAGAGGGAGAGAAACATCAATAGGTTGTCTCTCCCATGCTCCCAACTGGGGACCCAATCCACAGCCCAGGCATGTGCCCCAACTGGGAATCGAACCAGTGACCTTCCAGCTCACAATCCATCACCCCATCCACTGAGCTACACTAGCCAGGGCTATACTTCATTCTTTTTTATGGCTGGATAATATTCCATTGTGTGGATAGACCACATTGTGTTTATCCATAATCTGTTGATTGTCAGGAGCTGGCCAGCAACTGTCCCTTGACAAAGTCAGGACAGTTGAGATACATCTGCAAGGTAGAGGCAACTGTGGCTGGATTTCCAGTCTACCTCTCCTTACAAGTTTGTTTTGGTGATCAAAAGGTGGTGGGATTGTTAGACACCTGTATTTCAGGTTCATTAATTTGCATAATTCCAATGAAGTTGTACAAAATAATTTCTTGACCAGAGAACAAAATCCCCTCTAATGAAATAGCTTCTAAATGTCTAAAAGTTGTTAGAGTAATAGTCCCTCCTTTACTTTGAATAAGAATATATATCAATTAGACAGGCAAAGAAATAGCTATTACAAACTAAGTACGTAGAAACAGTTACTAGGGAGTCAGTTTATAGTACCCAGAGAAACATTTTAGACAGAAAAGGCTAGATAGCTAAGTTAGACATCACAAAGAACTTAAAATAAATTTTGTATAACCTCCACTCAATCTAGCATATCCTTTTGCCCCATGACAAATTCTGAGAAACTTTAATATAACAATAAGACATTCAAACTTTGTACATAGAGCTATTTCAAATTGTCTGATTAATGGCTCTCCTGGTCAAAACAACTTTCATTTAACATAACTGAAACTATGGAAATTCTTGTATTTTTCTTGGTTACCTTTGTATTGATTTTTTTTTGGCTTAACTGATCATGCTATGCTGCAAATGTTAATCACTACCTAAAATGAAAATATAAAAGCCTGCTTGTACTTGCAATAAACGGAACAGAGCTTCACTGTCCTTTGAGGCGTGTTGTCGTCTGTTACCCATCGCCAACTCCTTACCCACCTTTGGGAATCCCTGAACCCTGCTGCAGCTGGTCCGTGGCAGTTGATGGGTGGTTGTTTCCAGTTTATATTGCAGAGATTATGAACAATGCTGCTTTAAACATTCACATACAAGTTTTTTTTTGTGTGGATGTGTTTTAATTTCTTTTCAGTATATTATTCCTAAGAGTGGAATTGCTGGGTCACGTGGAAATTCTATACATAACTTTTTGAAGAGCTGCCAAGATTTTTTCCACAGTGGCTTCACCATTTAACATTTCTACCAAAAATGCATTAGGGCTCCAATTTATTTATTCACAGCCTCACCAATACTCATTCTTTCCCATAAAAAAATTATAACTATCTTAGTGGGTGTGAAGTGGCACATCTCCTTGTGGTTTTGATTTGCATTTTCCTAATGACCAATGATGTTGAGCATCTTTTCAGGTGCTTATTGGAAATTTGTATTTTTTATTCAGAGAAATACCTATTCAAATACTTTGTCTATTTTCAAATTGGGTTGTTTGTCTTTTTGTTGCTGAGTTGAAGGAGTTTTAAAACTATATTCTGGATAGTTGATCCTTATCAGATATGATTTGCAAATTTCTCTTCCATTCTGTGTATAGTCTTTTCATTTTGTTGTTGGCATACTTTGACCCAAGGGTTTTTCAAATCCTCACCCAAGAATATGTTTTATTGATTTGAGAGAGAGAAACAGAGAGAAAAAGAAAAAGAAACATTGATTGGTTGCCTTTGATGGGGGATTGAACCTAAACCTAGGTATGTGTCCTGATCAGGAATGGAAGCAGCAACCTTTTTGGTGTACAAGATGATGTTCCAAACAACTGAGCCACCCCATTTGGGCCCAAAACAGTTTTTAATTTTGAGGAAGCCAAATTTGTTTCTTTCATTACTTGTACTTTTGGCTTTATATCTGAGAAAGTGTTACAGAAACACTCCCTTTTCCCCAGGGGTCTTCTGCTCTTGGTTCTTTTTACCAATTGCCGGTAGGAATTGTGGCTCTCAATGCTAGAGTTTGATAAAAGAAAAGGAACTATATTTTAAAAAGTTATACAGGTTTAGAGCAATGGCGGAATGTTGCTGTTAAATCCCAAAGTCCCTTTAAAACACCTATAAACACATGCACAGTCCTTGCCAAACCAGACCAGTGAGGGGTACCATCTCTCAGAAAAAGAAATACAAGTCCATAGCTCGCCTAGACTCTTGCTCTTAATCCCAAACTACATCCTCTTGGTGGGCTGGGGAATCATTCTGCATCCTTTCAAACCAAGTGGCCAAGAAAGAGAGCTCCACATGGCAGCTACATCTTGCTTTCCTGCTTCCTAAGCTGTGTGGTCAAGAGAGCCCCTTCTCTGCTCCCAAAACATATGGTTAAGCCCCAGCATGTTGCTGCACCTGGGTTTAAATCCCAGCATGGATTTTCCTCTGTAACCCTATTTCTGACTCCTCCCATACTGGGTTACATCTGCCAGTAGTCTGGTTTCTTCTGCCTTTCTTGGCTGCCATTGTTAGTCCAAGCAAGCGTGTTCCTGTGTGACAGAAACTGCCTCCAAGCCGCTCTTGCAGGTGCAGGAAGCTTGTCCAGATACATTGCTTCAGTGCATCATGGGTTAGAGTTACACCCATCTCCCTGGCTCCTCACAGGCACAGGTTTTAACAGTTAAAACAACCAGCCAAGTTCTTCAGATATACAAAATAGCTCTCATTCGCCTTGCTCCACGTCCCTCACTCCCCAAATGATAGCTACGGAGGTTTTCTCCATTTGGGGGGACTTTCAGCTGAACACCCTGTTACAAAACTATTTCCTAATCCAAAATCACACAGATTTTCACTTAGGTTTTTTTCTGATAGTTTTAGCTTTTACATTTAAGTCTTTGATCCGTTTTGAATTACTCTTTATGTATGGTGTGAGGCAGGAGGTCCAAATTATTACTTTTTACGGGTGGATATTCAGTTTTGTAAGTAGCATTTGTTGAAAAGATTATTTCCTCCTTTGGTCTTGGAAAAATACATTTTTGGCATACATTCATACATATACATATTAACAAGTTTCCTTTTTTCAGTACCATTGATGTACGTTCCTTTTAAAATACTTTCCATAATAAAACATTCATCTATTCATATGTATTTACTGAGAGTCTTTACTGCTAGCCTCTGGGCATATAGATGTGAAAGGGACTGACACAGTTCCTAGACTCAATGAGTTTCCATTCTAAAGGGGACACAAGACAATGACATATAGGGAAAGAGACAAATAAGAACAATTGCAATTAAGAGCTATAAAACTAAACAAATAAAAGGTGAGTTGGAGAATAAGGGTCTGGGTGAAGGTGTACTTTGGTTCAGAAGGGCAGCTAAGACTTCCCAGAGGAATCAAAGACCAGCTCTGAAAAGTCTCTGAGGCTGAAATTGCTTGGCCTGTAAGAGAAACTGGGAAAAAGATGGTGACAGTGAGATTATAGAGTGAAAGCTAACGTGGTGAGAAACGAGAGCAAAGAGGAGTGTATTCCGGGGGGATACCAGAAAGGCCATAAGGGAAATGGGGAGCACAGAGGAGAGCATAATCAGATTTCCATTTTTGTAAGATCACAAAAGTCTGCCCCATATAGAATAGATTGAGTGGAGGGAGTGGTAGATGGAGGTTGAGGACCAGGTATGGAGTTATTTTCCTATGAACTCAGGGGTGAAACAGGGGTTTGGATTTTGGTGCAGAGACGTGAAAAGTGGAGTGACTCGGATAGAATCCGAAGGTGCAGGGGTGGGGAAAAGAGGCAGGGCAAGGGCTGAGTTGAGGGCTATCAGGTGAATTGTGTGAAGTTTACTAGGAAATGCAATTGGAAGTGTAGGCAGGGGTTATCCTCAGGGAAGCCCTAGATGCCAGGAAAGGATCTGGGGTTCTGCAAGCGAGGTCTCTGGCCAGAGGCCAGTGCAGGGACGGTTCGCAATTTCGCTAGTTTTCTGAAGGTATTCAGGCCTGTGCAACGTGGTGCAATGGACTCGAGCTTTCTGTGCCTTAGTTTCCTCATACTTGTGAATGTGAAGGTGGGCAGCTGCAATTATTAACCCACTACCCAGATGAAAGAGAACTGCTCTAAGTCAGGCTAGCTACCCTCCAGGGTAGAGAATCAAACGGGCAGCTCTCGAAGTAAAGAATCTGACCAGATCGCCGGGACCGCGGAGGGATGCTCTTTACGTCACGCGCATCGCCCCGCAGTTCATGCGCAGGCGCGGCTCCGGGCCGTGCTCCGCTCTCCACGCCGGGTTTTGGAGCCAACTCTCTGGAGTAGACGCACAGCTTTGCGCATGCCTGGGCGGGGCCGACCGTGCTTCCACAGAGCTGCGACTAGGGCGCCCCAGCTGGGTCCAAGATGGATATCCCGGAGGTGTTCGCAGCCCAGACCCCTTGTGGAGCCCAACATGGCGGCGGCTCTGGCCGACTCCGCCAAAGTCCAGGGCCGCCTCCCAGCCCCGGCCCTGCGCGCCGCCACCTGCTGCTCCTGCGTGGTCCTGAGGATGACGGGTCCGGACCACTGCGATGGGAGGCCCTGTCGGCGACGGCGGACCCTGGGCCAAGACCACCGACCCTAGAGGATGGCGGCGACTCCTTCTTGGTGCTGCTAGAAGTGCCTCGCGGCGCCCCGGCCGAGACTTCTGGGCGACGAGAGGCTGAGTCTGGCGCTGGCGCGAGTTCTGCTGGATGCCCTCAGCAGGGCTCCAGCGGTGCGGCTGCCATCCCCGGGCCCGGTGCGACCCTCATGAACACAGCCACCCTTAGCAGCCGGGACTTGGTCGTGCGCTTCAACCGGGGCGTCTTCACGCTGGCTGCTGCTCAGCTGCCACCGCAGGATCCCCCATCCCGGGGGCCCGTCCGGGGCCCGCCCCCACAGCCAGGCGAGGAGTCTGCGAGCCCGGCCGAGGGCCGCTCTGGGCCCCCGGGTCCCAGCGCGCTCCGCTACTGCTGCCCTGAGCCTCAGTGCCCGCTTTCCTTCGCCAAAAAGCATCAGCTTAAGGTGCACCTGCTGACACATGGAGGCAGCCAGGGCCGACGACCCTTCAAGTGTCCCCTGGACGGCTGCGGCTGGGCCTTCACCACCTCCTATAAACTCAAGCGACATCTGCAGTCGCACGACAAGCTGCGGCCTTTCGGCTGCCCGGTGGGTGGCTGCAGCAAGAAGTTCACCACCGTGTACAACCTTAAGGCACACATGAAGGGCCACGAGCAGGAGAACTTGTTCAAGTGTGAGGTGTGCACGGAGCGCTTCCCCACGCAGGCCAAGCTCAGCTCCCACCAGCGCAGCCACTTCGAGCCCGAGCGGCCATACAAGTGTGACTTTCCTGGTAACCGGGGCCTGCGGGCGGGATGCGGGGTGGCTGCCGGGAGCCAGGTCCAAATGCCTGCGGTCACTTAGACTGCGCGTGCGGAGACCTGCCCCAGCCTGGGATTGGGCCGGATTTAAAGTAAGTTGGCCAAGTATGAGAGGTGGGAACGGTAGCGTACAGCCCAGGTCACGTGAATCGCTGCGGAGATTTCAGCGAAGGAAGTGTTACAGATAATCAGTTGTCATTCCCCATGGTGGAGACAGCAGGTCTTTCTGAAGGTGCTTCTGGTGGTTAATGAAAGAAAGAACGCACCTTTCCAGAGATTTGTAGTGAGACAGGTCTTTACTTCCTTTGGTGTCATCATTTAGAAATACTCGATATAGAATCTGAAGAACTTGAGACACGTGGTCATAAACTAAAGGGGGAAAATGGGGGCGGGGGGTGCAGGGGGGAGGGGAATGGAGGGGGGGAATAGAACAACTGTAATAGCATAATCAATAAAATCAAAAAAATAAAATAAAATAAAGAAATACTCGTATCTATGGGGCACACACTCGGTACCAGAGGAAAACAGATGAGTGGTCAGATGTAAGACCCTAAAATGGTGTAGCACAGATTTTTGTGCCTTTATACTTTTCTTTGGACTTCACAGTTTTGTGAAGTTCTTAAAATTACCCTCATTTTACAAATGAAGCAACTGAAGCTGAGCAATTGGAAAAAATTCAGTGGTGTTTTTTTCTCCATATTGATTGCCTGCGGTGGTGGATAGGTGGATTTAGTTCCTCCAGGATAGACACAGTGCCACCTGGGAGAAAGAGGAGATTCCTTCCTGGGAAGGAGTTGGTTTGAGGAAAGTTGACTGGTGTGTAAATATGCGGGGCCAAGGCAGGAGATGCTGGCTGTGGGGAAGGTGTGGGAGGGCCAAGCAGAGAGTGAAGGCAAGCATGCACCTAACCTGAGCCCCATGAGTGTGTTGACATGTTATAAAATATACTCAAATATAGGGATTTTGAAAGAGTAAAATGAACAAATGCTAACAAGTTCTAGTGTTTTCCCCCCCACATGTTGTAGATTGTTTTGTGTGTCCCTCTTTGTGAAGAACATGGCTTTAGACCACTGATTGGAAACCTTTTTCAGTCACACACTCTGGGAACCTGAAAGTGGCTTAAAGACAATTTTATAGTAAAATGTACAGAGAGCATGATTCTGAGTATAATACTAGGAAAAATCAAGGACCCACCCAGCTCTAGAGCATCAGGTCTTCTGAGGGCTTTGATCTAGATCAGGGATGTGTAACTCATTTTCACCAAGGGCCAAATCAGCCTTGTGGTTGCCTTCAAATGGCCAAATGTAATTTTAGGACTGTATAAATGTAACTACTCCTTAACTGTTAAGGAGTTGAAATTACATTTGCCACTTTGGAGGTAACCACACAGCTGATGTGGCCCCTGGTGAAAATGAGTTTGGCACCCCTGAGCTACATGATCTGTGGGGTGTCAGTGTTTGAGATGGGTAGGAGGAGGAGATGGATCAGTGAAACCCCAAGAAATGTTTCAGATACAGCATGCTCAGATTTACCTGATGAAGTAGTCATCTATACCAAAGCCCCAAATTGGGACATGGGGTTGGAGAGCAGATTGATGACAAAGAGGATGATTTTAGGCATTTAGAGAGGTTACGTTTTCCCAGTTCAGTGTTGTCAGGAAGAACAGGGCTCTTTGGGCCAGTACTTCTGTGTGATATGTGGTGCTGTGCAGTGTGTATCTGCTGGGTGGTTTACAGGTACTATGGTAGCATGTTAAAGGCTGTGAGAAGAGCTGCAAGTAGGATACCTGATAAGCATCTTGTAGCCTGAGCCTGATATCTTCCACCCTCTTTGGGCACCAAATATTTTTCTCAAAGGAGAACTATTGGTGTGGAAAGTCTGGGAATTGCTTAGGTACACTGCTTTGGCTGGGGCTCAACTTGGGGCTGAAGATGGAGGAGATAGAAAAGACTATGTTAGTGAAGGTAGTGCCAGTAGCCTTTGACAGAGCAGGGAGTCCTGAGAAAATGAGCAGAAGGAAAAAGAGAAGCCAGATGACAGCATTGGGGGCTGCCAGTTGCAGAGGATATCAGGGAGGATGTTTATAATTGTAGAGGATGCAGCATCAACCCAAGGGGTTAAAAAGTCTCAGATACTACAGTGATTTGTGGCTGTTCCAACTCAACCCTAACAGAAAATCTTGTTCCTTGTCTAATTTTTCTCATTGGATTTTCTTGGGTCTCACACTGGCAGCATTGACACTTGAGTTGACAATGTATGCAAGATCTGTGCCACAGAACTGGGAACAGGTGGTTGTGATTGGAGGACTTTCCTTGATCAGGTCCTTCATCTCTAAGTCACATCAAAACAAGTGGCTTGTGTGAGTTTGTTGACTGCCCTTGGCCACCCTTACTTTAACTGTTACAAAGCCAGATGTCAATGGTAGTAAGTTTTCACAGGTGCTTAATCATTTTATTCCTTGTCTGCTCAGTCAAGGCCAGCAGTGAGTGTCCTGGTTGGTGACTAGTATAGCTGTGTTCTGTGATTTTTGCCACATCAGTGAGCAGGTCTGTTTTTGTTGTTCAGGCTGTGAGAAGACCTTCATCACAGTGAGTGCTCTGTTTTCCCATAACCGTGCCCACTTCAGAGAACAGGAGCTCTTTTCCTGCTCCTTTCCTGGCTGCAGTAAACAGTATGACAAAGCCTGCCGCCTGAAAATACACCTGAGAAGTCATACAGGTAATGAGCTAGAGAATGCAATGTCATGTGGACCAAAGATTTGTCTTTGTAGTAGCTTGCAGTTATAATTATGTGATGTAACTTTTTTTTTCCTAAGGTGAAAGACCTTTTATTTGTGACTCTGACAGTTGTGGCTGGACCTTTACCAGCATGTCTAAACTCCTGAGGCACAAAAGGTAATCTATGCATTTTGGTTGAATTATAAGTTTTGAAAATGAATGAATTGTTTCTTAGTAGCAAAAGCCTATGAATGAAATATATGTCATTTTTTTATAAGACAGCTGAATATAGATAATTTGGAAAATTCAGAAAGTTATAAAAAGAAACACTGAGAACCTGATCACCTAAAGTCAGTTTTTTTTTTCTGTGTAAATTTGTTTTTAAATTTAATTGGCGCCCTTTATATACAGCCCTATATTTTTAAGAAAATATGTGGAATAAGCTTTCCTCATGCAATATAAACTTTCCATTGTGATAATGATCACCTTGGAGAGTTTAGTCTACCTAATCATGATGCTCAGCACTTTACATGTGTAAAAGAGATCTTTTAGTCTTCGCAGCTTTGACTCTGATGTTTTTATTCTCCCTGTTTTGCATTGGGACTCAAGAGGTTGGGTGGCTTTTCCATGCTTGCACAGCTAGGGTTTGGGGGGTTTAATATAAAAACTTTACTTGACAAGACAGTGTTTATGCATGGGCTTGAGAAGGACCTTTTAGCATTGCAGTGGATTTTCTGTGCACACTTATCATTGCCCTCTGTGAGTTGGAAAGCTTGCTTATTATCAGGATTCCTGAACAGTGGAAGTAGCTGTATCAATACATTGGGAATCAGCTGTTTCTAGATTAAAGCAGCACTGATTGTTCTGTGTCTGACTCTGGAATCAGCTAGGTCATTGAAGTAGAATCTCTAATTACAGGGTAGCTAAACTGCAAATATGCCCATGTGGACTAGAGATACAATTAAGATCTTCTGAAGTGTACTGGTTATTTTTTTTAAATGCAAAGTGTTTGTAGTTTGGTATATTTTGCAGAATTTTAAACAAAGGGTCACCTCTGAGGCTTGGTGCCTTCAGGTGATGTGAGAAATTAGTGTCCTGTTTTTCTGTTCTTGCAGGAAACACGATGATGACCGGAGGTTTAGCTGTCCTGTTGAAGGCTGTGGGAAGTCATTCACAAGAGCAGAGCATCTGAAAGGCCACAGTATCACCCACTTGGGCACGAAACCATTTGAGTGTCCTGTGGAAGGTAGATTTTAATATGTTACTTTGAGCTATAAACTAGCACCGTTTCCATGCTGATGTTGTAATTTTTAGCTGTTTAAAGGTAAGTTTTAGTTACTTAAAGACAAGGGAGTGTAAGTTGTAGCATTAGATTTACTTGGTTTTTAGTTATAACTGCTTTGTCTCAGGAGCAACGTATTGGAAAGAACAGACTTTAGAATCAGACCTGGTTTGACTTTTGGCCCTGCAGTGCTCTCACTAGATCTGTGACTCTAGTTAGTTACCTGTTTAATTTGGTTGTTGTGACAGTTTGGTGAAATAACCTGAAAAATGCTTGTTTTGTCATCTGGCATATATCATAGACTTAGTAAATGGATGCTACTCATGCTGCGATTGGAGAGTAGTAAAGCTAGGCTGGCTTTTTAGAAGGGTATCAGGGATTTTTTTTTTTTTTCCTCTAAAACACTGAAGGTATGATTCATTCACCAAAAGTGTGGCTTGGCTGTAGTGGCCTTACTGTAGTGCTGCAGAGGCACTGGCAGGTGGCAGAGCCAGGTCAGTCTACAGTTGTGAGTTTGAATCCTGAGTCTACCCTCCCCTAAGTTGGTGACCTCAGGCAAACTTCTCTGGTTAATAAAGACCCATTTGAAGCTAAGACCGTTTCCTACAAAGTAATGAGTATAATACAGGTGATCTAACCAAGATTCAGTTCTCTTCATCAGAGCTCAGTTAGGGCATGGCATGTAGAGTCCTATGGAGGCACAAAGAAGGTCACCCAAACTGTTTGTAGGGCATGGGAATGGCCTCTCCATCAGCTAGAAGAGTGAGGAAAAGTTAGCCAGGTGTTTGGGTGGCAGAAAGACCAGAGTGAGGAGATCTCCCAGTGCTGTAGAAAAGCAGGCTCTTGAGTGCTTGGGGCTGGGCAGCAATGGGATCAAATTTCAGTGTAGGCTCAGTCTGGTTTCCTTAAACCAGTTGCTGGTGCCTGGGCTGGGGTTTGGTGGAGGGAAGGAAGGGAAGGCAGAGACAGGAGAGGTAGAAGTTAGAATTAACAGTGCTTGATCACAGATTTGGAAGATGGGGGTTGTGGGAGAGGCAGTAGTTGGGGTCAGTATCTTAGTTTGGAGGGGGAAATGGCAGTAGTTGTAGGAAGCAGAGTTCGGTTTGGACATGCTGCATTTTAGGTACCTGTGTACTTTGCAAATTGAGTTCCTCAGAGGGCAGGAGGAGGCTGTACTGCTGGGCTTGGTGAGAAGGTGGTCTGGAGTGAGGTAGGCAGCACACCAGTAAGCCATGGAAATGGATGTAATTCTCAAAGAACAGTGTATGGTTGACCCCTGAACAACATGGATTTGAACTGTGTGAGTCCACTTACATGTACATTTTTTGCAGTTGACAGCAATTCAGTTGACCAACACAGTTCAAACCCAAGTTGTTCAAGGGTCAACTCTGTGCTTGGGAATATGAGCACCTGGCGGGCTGGCTGTAGTCATACATGGATTTTTGACACTGCAGATGTCAGCTCACCTAACCCCTGTATTTTTCAGGGTCAACTGTAAATCGAAGAGAGGCAGTGTAGTGATTAAGAGTGTGAAAGCTAGATCCAGACTGCCCGGATTCAAGTCCAGGGCCTGCCCTTTAGTAGCTCTGTGACCTTGGTTGAGCAGCTCAAGCTTTCTGTGCCTCTTCATCATTTGTAAAGCAGTAATAAAACCTCATAGGTTTATTAGGAGGGTTCAATTAGATAATAAGTTTAATTAAGGCACATATAAACCATCTGGAAAGATCACCTATTGCTGTTGTTATGATTTGTATTATCAAGGAAGCCTAGGACAAAACCCTGGGGACTGCCACAAATTCAGGTGGAAAGTAGGAGACTGTAAGGTCAAGAGAGGAGGATGTTTGGAAAAGGAGGGGAGTCCTGAGTGCTGAGGCGTGGCAGGTTGGTGAGGAATGTGTGGGGGCTCCTCTGGAAGGCAGGGTCACTGGATTATTTCACTTACAAAACAAGGTTTGAGGTTCAGTGGAGTAGCTGGGGCAGAACTCTGCTGTAGTACCTGAGAGGGAGGCTAGGGTGAGGCTGGAGATGCTTCTAGAGAGGTGGTTGAAGGAAAGAGGAAAGGGCAGTTGCTGACTACCGTAGAGCTGGAGCGATGCAGATAATGGAGAGAGGAGTGATAGGACTTTGCTGGTTGAAATTGCTCTTGACTGTCAAGAGTGGTGGTGAAGGCGGGAGCTTGGTGGAGGGATCTCAGAGCCTGTTTTCACATTGGGAAAGAATTGATATTCTTGAGTCTGGTTGATTATGCCATTTTCTCTGCTTTTATAGATGTTTGATAGTAAGTTAAAAACAAGCACTATCTTTTTTTCCATGGTAACTGGGGGAGGAAGAGAGAATAGAGGGCCATCAGCAGGGAGCATGTATAAGGAAGGACAGATGGTGGACCAAGGACAGCATATATGGGATGGGAGCTTCTCCAGGACACATGTGGTGGTTTCTCTAGTATGTTGCAAAATGTCTCTGCAACAGAGCCAAGGGAGTCAAGATTGGTAGATGTTTGTGTGGTCACTATGCAAATGAGGATGTAGGCTGAGCAGATGCCTGTGGATATTACAGGTTTGGAAGGAAGCTTGTCATTATGGGATTGCTTCACCTTTCTTCTGGGTGTGGTGTCTTGGTATAAAGGTGGGTTGCTGTTTATTAATATCTTTGATTTGTAAAGAACTGACATAAGTCTCAACAGTTAATGCTGTAATTAGGAAATAACACTAATTACACTAAAATAATTGTAATAGGAAAAAGTGTAATAGGAAATAACACTAAAACACTGAAAAAAATGGTCACATTCTGGTCATCAAAGAAAATACAAATTAAAATGAAATATATTGTGTTCCCTGTTGAATTAGCAAATATTTTAAAAAATGGAATCTCAACTGCTGGCAAAAGTGTGTAGCAGACGTCCTCATGGTGGTTGATCTTTGATTTGAACAATTACATGTTCTTTGGGAAAGCAGCTTGATTAAAAAGTATATTCAGCACCTCTGCTCTGTGAGCTGCCTTCAGAAATCTGTGCTGAGAGTACTCCCAGCTGGAAAAAGTGGTCAGGAACATGGCAGATAGAGGGTATTGCTATGCACTGGGTGGAACACAGTAGGCAACGTAGACAAGATGCCTGAGGGTGAGACCTACAGCATCTGCTCTCTCTATGCTGTTTTCCAAATGTACTGGCATGAGCCTGACTAGAAAACAAGTTTGAAGCTTTGTTTGAAAATGATATAAGTTCAAAACTCATCAGAAGCAGCTAAAACCCTTATTCATCTGGCCATATCCTATCTTTATAGCTTCTTTTCCTAAAATAGGCCTCCTGGCCCTGGACTCTAGCAGCTCCCTCTCGCCACCCTGAAAGTTTCCACAGCGTACAGATTATTGTTTCTACTTGGTTAGGCACTCTGTGAGTACTCCGTAGGTTGATATTGTACACTTAGTCCTCATAATTCTTGTGAGGTTGGTGTCATTTCTACTTTACAGAAAGGAAAAAGGAGATTCCAGAAGGATAAATAAGGCTATATGCTACAGAGGGCTGAACTAAAGTTGAGATAGTCATGCTCCAGAGCAGGACCTGCCCACTCAGCATTGCTGCCCTTTATGGCGTCCATGCCTTAGCTTGGCAGCTCCCTTGGCCGGGATGCCCGTGCTTTGCTTTGGCTGGCCCCTACCACTTGTTGGGACCCAGTTACCTCACATGGTAGCTGCCCTCTGAAACGTTTTTTCTATCCTCTCTGGAAATATTCTGAAGCAGCAAACCTCTCTGGGGGTATGCTGCTTCCTCTGTTTCCAGCATATGCCACAGCACTAGAACTGGTTTTATTCTGCCCTTCGTTATGACATCTGATTGTTTACATGTCCCTACCAGGTCACAAGCTGCCAAGAACCCCATATCCCCTTCCATCCCTGTGGTGCAGACCTCTAACAGTGGAAGGAAGGTGGCTATATTTTTTAATCTCTCTAGTTTTCCCTCTGACCTGTGTGCAGGTCTACAATCTTACTGACTGGCTAAGCAGTTGAGTAGTCAGTACAGCAGTGGCAGTTCCAAGTTCTGCTCACGTCCCCGACTTAGGGCCATTTGTTTGGTCTGGGCATCAGTTTCTCAGTGGTAAAATGATAAGAATTGGAATCAGAACACTTCCCAGACATGCTGCAACCTGGTTGTGGAGTTGTGATAAGGTCTTCTTGGGGAGAAAAGGGATGTACCAATTAAGTATGGCCACAGTAATGCTGTATGGAAAACAACCATGAAATCTCAGCAGTAAACAAAAAGTATTTAACCCATGAGTGGATAGGAATTCAGATGATCTAGGGTGGGCTTTGGCTGAGTGGCTCTGCCGATCTCTGCTGAGCTTACTTATGCATCTGTAAGGGTGACTGAAGAGCGGATCAGTCTGGAGACTTCCGCCAAGATGGAGGTATAGGTGGATGTGCCGTGCCTTCTCACACAACCAAGTTTAGGGACAACTAAATATTAGCATCAGAAAACACAACCAGAACACGGAAAATTGAACTTTTCGGAAGTCCGTTAACAACAAATTCTTCAGCCCGACCGGTAAGGGGCGAAACCGGCGTCTCGTGAGGGGTTGCACAGGAGGACTGGGTCAGACCCAGGCGCGGAATCCAGACGCGCGAATCCAGACGCACGGGTTCCAAACGCAGAATTGGACCTAGTGAGCGACCGAGCAACCCACCGGGTGAGCGACTGCAGAGGAGACAGTGGCGAGGCGGTGCTGCGTGTTGACTGCGGTTGCCTATTTGCGGGCGAGCGGACAGGCGAGGGAGTGGGCGGTTGGACCGGCCCCGGCGGTCCCCGTGGCAAGCGGCAGTAGAGGGTGCCGCCATTTCCCCACTCTGACCGCGCCCCCACATACAGCGTCACAACCCAGCGACCTGGGAGTCCAAGGCGCCGCTTCTCACATTTAAAGGGCCAGAACAGACAAAAAATGTCGCAGGAAGACCTCAAAGCCCCAGAGATAAATCTAAGCGACGAAGAAATAGCAAAACTCTCAGACGCACAGTTTAAAACACTGGTCATCAGGATCCTCACAGATCTGGTTGATTATAGCCACAAATTAGAGAAACATATGAAGGCTAAACTAATGGAAATGAATGGAATTCCACAGGAAACCCATAGCGATGAAAAGGAAACTGAGACTCAAATCAATGGAGTGGACCAGAAGAAAGCAAATAATGGCCAAACAGAAAAGAGTCAAGGAGCAAGAATTCAAAGAAATGAGGAGAGTCTTAGGAACCTCCAGGACATCTTTAAACGCTCCAATATCCGAATTATAGGGGTACCAGAAGGGGGGAAAGACACAACCACCAGTGGAAAAATTATTTGAACAAATAATAAAAGAAAATTTCCCCAATCTGGCAAAGGAAATAGACTTCCAAGAAATCCAAGAAGCTCAGAGAGTACCAAAAAAGTTGGACTCAAGAAGAAACACACCAAGGCATATCATAATTACATTAGCCAAAATTAAAATGAAGGAGAGAATCCTAGAAGCAGCAAGAGCTAAGGGGACAATCACCTACAAAGGAGTCCCCATCAGACTGTCAGCAGATTTCTCAAAAGAGACCTTACAGGCAAGAAGGGGCTGGAAAGAAATATTCCAAGTCATGAAATCTAAAGACCTACAACCAAGATTGCTCTATCCAGCAAAACTTTCATTTAGAATGGAAGGACAGATAAGGTGCTTCTCAGATAAGATCAAATTCAAGGAGTTCATCATCACCAAGCCCTTATTATATGAAATGTTAAAGGGACTTATCTAAGAAAAAGAAGTTAAAGAAACATGAACAGTGAAAGGACAGCAAGCTCACAGTTATTAACAACCACACCTAAAACGAAAGCAAACTAAAAGAACAGCTAGATCAGGAGTGGAAACATAGAAATGAAGATCTCAAGGAGGGTTAGCAACAGGGGAGTGGGAGGAGGAGATGGGGGGAGAAGGTACAGAAAATAAGTAGCATAGACAGTAGATAGAAAATAGATGGGGGGGGCCAAGAATAGCATGGGAAATATAGAACCTAAAGGACTTGAGACACATGGACATAAACTAAAGGAGGGTAATGGTGGGGATGGGGCGGGCAGGGTGGAGGGGAATGAAGGGGGGAATAGAACAACTGTAACAGCATAATCAATTTAAAAAAATAAATTAAAAAAATGATAAGAATTGGTGTTGGTGATCTGTTGAGATAGCTTCTAACTTTAAGTGTCATACAGTTATGGTGGTTGTATAATAGTAGCTTAATAGATATGGTTAGTATAAATTTTTAACAATTGAATGTTTAAGGAGTTAGCACTTAATTTAACTTAATCTTTCTAGCAACCCTGTGTAATGGGTGAAGAAATAACCTCAGAGTTAACTTGTCCAGGGTCACACATCTTACACACAAATGATGTGGAACTTCAAATCTTTTAAAAATAGAGTTTACTTTCAAATTTAATTCCTTGTGATGCTACTTCAAGGGGTCTTCAGTGTATGTCTCTGGCCAGTAGCCAAAGCATGGGCATGATTCTGATATGACGAGGAAATGTCAGCATTGGTTTCTTGGTAATCTACAGATTTAACAGTCATCATTGTTTCTGTTCCAGGGTGCTGTGCCAGGTTTTCTGCTCGTAGCAGTCTCTACATTCACTCCAAGAAACACCTGCAGGATGTGGGTGCTCCAAAAAGCTGTTGCCCGGTCTCCAGCTGTAATAGACTGTTCACGTCCAAGCACAGCATGAAGGCACATGTCATCAGGCAGCACAGCCAGCACCCAGGTCTGCTTGATTTTTGTCCGTCTTAGAAGGCTACAAAGATGTGTAAGGTCAGCCTGTTTCAGAGAAGCAAAAACATGTCATTCCTTCCTTAGCTTCTCTCAGAAGTTGGCTAAGTCTTAGGTTAAGTTAATCTAGTGTGGTGAGGTAGTCTAGGGACCATGGCTGCCAGACCTGGTGGCCTCTTTCAGACTCTCCTGCTACTTCTTGCCTCAGCTTCTCTGATCCGTCCTTAGAGAACCTTCAGTCTTCTACTTTGTTGGCTTTTCCTAGCATATACCTCCCAAATCTGTGTCCCCCTGAGACCTAGGAACCCCCTTGTTCCTATGCTGTTTCTATCTTCTTCAGCTGCTCTTTTTAAGTCCCATTGGTTCTTTTTGAGCACACCCTTTTGTCTCCTCCATTCCGCTGCTGGGGAAAGTCCTTGAAGATGAGAACAGAATTTTGTTTCAGCATGTGGACAAGATTGTTGAGGGCAGAGAGGGAACCATGACAGTTCTCTGAGAGGCAGGGACCCACAAGATAGCCTTGTTCATTTGGTTACATGGTGGCATGGAACTTAGAATCTTGCCTCTTGAGGTCAGGATGTTGAGAGGTCTGGGTGGCCACATGGTTGACTCCTTGGAATTCTTTCATCATCCTGCTCTTTGGGGTATGGTGGGGTTGCTGCACCTGGTAGGTCCTGGCTGGTGAAATCCTGGCAAGCTATAGAGTTATCTGAGTGTGTAGCTAACCAGGTCCTGCGTATTGCCACATGTGTGATGGGCAGCACCAGCCTTGGGGTGTAGTTGCTTCCTAGCTGTGCGATCCTGGGCAGGGAATAGGCCTGGCAGCCCTAGTTTGTCCATCTCTCAAACATGGAATTTGAGTGGTTCTCATATTGCAATATTTTGTTAAAGTGTCTAGAATAGGGCTTGATGAGTAGTTTAGTTCAGTGAATGTTGGTGCCCTTCCTGTACCTTTCTCTGATCCCATTAGTTTGGTCACTTCTTCCCTCCTTTGGCTGTAACAGTGATTGCTTTGTATTTAAAGACATTGTCCTTCTAGACACTAGGTAGGCATCTTGAGGACTCATGTTCGAGGCTGTCACCTTGGCTCACAGGCCAGTCAGGTTCCTTATGCTGATGTTCAGAGGCCCTCAGTGATTGATTAGGTTCCTGCCTTGGTCTTTAAAACTTACCTGCCCAACTGTGAGCTGGTGGTCTGTGATACCATGCACCTGGCCTCTGCTGCTTTCCCTTTCCTAGCCTGGCTAATACAGAAGTCAGCAACAGCACTGTTTGTTCTCTGGATATAAGAACCTCTCAGGTGCTTCTGTAGTGCCTGTTTTCCAGGCACTGCATTTATGATGTGACATTGACTTACTTGCGTCATTCTTCCCTGCCACAAGTTAGGGGTGGGTAGATGACCAGGTGTTGGCCCAGTGCTTGCCTCATGAGAAATAAGTGCTTGGGAACATCCATTTATTGTGGACCAACTTTCCTGGATTAGCTCTTTGAGTTTCTCTTCACAGCGATCCTGGGATAGGGGTTCCTAACCACTCTGTCAATGACAAAGAAACTGAGATGGAAATGAGAAGGATTTGCTAGAGGTCACATAGGCAAAGAAGGGCTGGAACAAGGCCATGATTGTAACCTAATGCTAGATGCTCTATTAATTAATGTTAATGATTTTTGAATATCTGGTTCTTATACATAGCAGGTCTCCAGTAAAAGTGGAATTAATAAAGTGTTAACTAGGAAATTTTTGGACAGATCGCTATCTATTTGCACCATGATTATTATTCTTAACTTTTTCATAGGGAGCTGATTCCTCAGAATTGTCAAGGGAATTTTTTAAAAGTTTTGAAAAAAAGATAGTTTTGATTTTTAATTTTTCCAAAGAATCACTGCCATTTCCTTTCAGAATATTTCATTACTAAGAGATACTTAAGAAGCAATAATATATTGATCCTACATTTAAATTTTGAAGTAATATGACAGTTAAAGAATATATACTCTGAATTTGATTATTTTTAAATTTATTTTGGGGGGGGTTGTCTAGAGTATATTATTTCATAGGTTTGCATGGCAAATATAATGGGCACTCTGCCCTGGTGTCCACAATTGGAAAGTAATTAGCTAATGTTTGGTATGGGAGGAGTAGAGCCACGAACTGAGAGCCTTTTTCATCTGGCTGGGCCCTGGCACATTCTAGAAGTTGCAGGTAGGAATTTGTTAAGAATAACATCAGGTCCTTGTTTGGCTCTAGATTTGGGATGATTGAGTGCACTTGTGTATAAACCTCTCACTTGAATATTCATTGAAATTTTTAAAAAGTATGCAGTGTTCATTATTCCTCCAGGGATATTCTGATTATTTAGACTACTTAATTGGATAACTAATAATTAAATGATTAAAGAGTATTGGGACCAGTAAGACTGAATGAAGAGGGATCTACTAGAATTGTTTGTACTATAATTCTTAAATGTTGCTTAAGAGCCAGCAGGCACTGTGCCTGGTGCTGAGGCACAATGATGGTCAGACAGAATGTACCCTCAGGATGATCATAGCAGGGGGTCAGGGGAGTATTAGAGGCTGGGGATAGAAAGGTGGTAGGGGGAGGGGAGTCCATCTCTAGAGTGCCTTGGGGGCCAGATCTCTAGTTCTCTACAACTCCCTAGAGCTGGGGCCTATCGGCCAATTTTTTTTCCCTTTCACTACCCCCAAATGACTCAGACCTGTTTTGGAGTGGCAGTTAGTTGTGCAGTGATGCATAGAGTTGATGAGACATGAGCTGATACAAGCTAATTCCAAAAATATTCTCAGAACCAGAGTTTACCTTTGGTCTGACTTCGGAAGATTTGGATGCCATGGAAAGTTTTACAGTCTTCTCAGGGGTAGCTCTTGTACAGCAGAAAGTATACAAAATTTAAAGCCAGAAAAGAAGTGGCTTCAAGTTCTGTTACCCATTAATGCGATTTTAGAAAAAGTTATTTCCTCCATCTGGAGACATCCCTGTCAGCTCTAGGATTTGAGACAACATATGCAAAATGCCTTATGTGTCATCAGGCTTTCTTCATTGAATGTACCGCTTTTGATGTGCCAGGCAGCAGGGTCAGGAATTAGGCAGTAGATGTTGTGTTGATGGGTTGCCTAACATCTTATGTACAAATAAAACTTACTAGTCTTCTGGGTGATGTAGCTCAGTTGATTGAGTGCAGGTCTGCAAACCAAAGGGTCACTGCTTTGATTCCCAGTCTAGGGCCCATGCCTGGATTGCAGCAGCAGGCCCTAGTAGGCGGCACATGAGACACAACCACACATTGATGTTTCTCTTTCTCTTTTTCTCCTTCCCTTCCCCTTTCTCTAAAAGTAAATAAAATCTTTAAAAATAAAACAACTTCTTAGTCTTCTAAGGGCATAAAATAATTGGATCGTTTATTCCTTTTCAGATCTCTTCCCTCAGCTAGGAGCTCCGAGTTCTCTTCCACTCAGTGAACTTGGCAGCCCAGGCCAAAGTGAGCTCAACAACATAGACCTGGCAGTACTCTTCTCTGATGTACCTGCTGATGGTAGTAGTGCAGCAGGGGCCTCGGATGAGGCACTGACCCCTGGAATCCTGACTATTGATGTGACTTCTGTGAGCTCCTCTCTTGGAGGGAACCTTCCTAATAATAGTTCTTTAGGGCCAATGGACCCACTGGTCTTGGTGGCCCACAATGACATTCCTCCAAGCCTGGACAGCCCTCTCGTTCTTGGGACAACAGCCACAGTTCTTCAGCAAAACAACTTCAATATGGATAATATGCAAACTGTAAGTGCAGGAGGATTAGGCTGTCTGGTAGCTCTTCCTGTCAAGAACTTGAGTCAGGACCCACAGGCTTTGACTTCCAGCAGCAGTTTAGCAGTGAACACCACCACCCTGACCTCTTCAAGCAACCTCCCAGGGAACACCAGTGCCCCAGAATTGCTGTCTTCAATCAAAGTGGAACCAGACTTACCTCCTGGCCCTGAAGCTGTCAGGCAGCAAGAACAAAGCAGAGAGGTGCCCTGGCCTGTGTTCTCCAGCCCTCCAGAAAAGCACAGTCCTGAGAGAGACACAGGGCTCAGTGCAGGGACTGGCAACTTTTATTTGGTATGAAATGCTATATTCAGTCACTGCCATATAGCCCGCTTCCCTTACACTCAATTTTGAGGATGTTCTGGATTAATCATTTATGTACAGACATTTCTTACTCTTTGTGAAAGAATGGAGCCCTGGACTACCAGTTTGGAAATCTGAATTCTGATCCTGAGTCAGAACTAATTAGTTTTTACAACCTCGAGCAAATCACTTAACCTGTCTGAACCTTAAAGTCTCATTTCTAAAATGAGGGGGATTGGCTAGATGATTTCTGAAGTCATTTTGAATGCTGCGATTACTTGATAATGTGTTTCTTTACCTGAAAAAAAAATTGGTAGTATTTCATAATGTTGAAATAGTCTGCCTTTGTGCTTTTCACATAATAACAAGTCCTTAGACTTACTAATAACCAGAGTAAGGAGGATCTTGTTATCAACTGTCTTTAGAGTATTAATGGAAACTTTAAATTCATGAAAAACATTTTTCTTTAAAGAATTAGAATTAAGGGGAAAATAGGAGTGGTTTGTGAACCTTTGTTTCTGAAGGGTTATGAGTAGTTCTCCAATTTTGAGGCTTGACAGTTAATATACTTTATATCACTTTTATGTTTAATGTAATTTAAAAATAATTTAAAGATTCTTGGAGAAGTCTGATTTCTTTCCTCAGGTTCAGATGGAAATGATCAAACAGGTCTTTTTCTTTGTGGCACAGGTTAAATTTGATAGTGATATTGATCAAAATATTAAATCTTACCAGAACTTCTAAAAAAAGTTTAATTCTTTGAATTAGGATCAATTTTGAGGGATATGATAATTCATCCACCATGGAGCCAGCTTTTATATCTTTTGAGAGCACCTCCATCTCTGTTTAGCCTTGTCTGGTGTCTTATTTATTGTGGGGGCTAATCTCTGCTTCAGCAGCTACAGCAGTTGCTTGGTGTGCAGGTGCCCGGGCCTGGAGGGGACATGGCTAAGGCTCAGAGATTTGTGGGATGTCACTGCCTGAGTGCAGGGCCTCAGTGCCTTGGGAAACAGTAGTTTTCTGGTGCCATTGCATCATCAGAGGCTTAACTGTGGGTGGAGGCAGGAAGAGCCACCATGACCTTGATCCTGACCCCTTGTTCATTTTCTTGCTAGCTGAGTGACGTTGGGCTGCCTCGATTTTCTGAGCACCGATGGTGTGTGGTGAATGGGTTACAGGTATGCCATGAGCTGCTTAGGGTTCTTTCTTTTTTTGCAGTGATAAGTATTAAAATGTTTTTCTTATAAAACATTCACAAACTCAGCCGAAGTCCTATTTAAATACTGTACTACTGTTTGACTCCCTCAGTAAACTTCCTGAATTCATAACCAGTTATTGTTTTGGTCTGTAAGACATTGAGTTGAACACCTGCCACAGGAGTGGCCTCTGCAGTGGGTGTATGAAATAGGACCTCTCCAGCTCTGCCATACAAGTATCATGTGGCATGCTCTGAAAAATGTTGGGAAGTGCTGCAGTAAATTAATCCTGAATCATTGAGGAAAGACTGGTTGTTTCAGACAGCAGAGAAATATGTAATTCATTTTTTAACAGTTTCTGTATAAAATATTTTGATGTTTTAGACTTTGGAGGAATAAACTTTGAATATCTGGGTAATAAAATTATGTATATTGTTCCAACTCTGATTTTATTTAGCTATCACTATAATTGTATATAGTGTTTGATTCTCAGTGAGCCTTTGCTGGAGATTCTCAAAGAGTATTTAGACTTCACTCTGTTCAGGAAGCAGAATTACTACATTTCAGTAGTTCCTTGCTACCCTCCCTTTGCTGTTTCGGTCAAGTGACTGACACATTTTTCTTTGATCTCAGGAAAGTGGGGGCTCAGCAAGAACTGATTCCCGAGCCATTCAACTAGTCAAGAAAAAAAAGCAGAAAGGAACTGGGAGCAATGCAGGTGAGGCTGTGTGTGCTGCAGTGCTGGGGGAGTGAGGGTTCTGATGGTTAGCTTGGGGCTTAATTAGGGACAGGAGAAATATATAAGATGGATGTTTTCTATTTTCTTTGTATTACTTTTATGTTCAGAATGCTCTTTCGTCAACTCCTTAGTTTTTATGTGAATTTAAGAAGAAAAAAGATACAAAATTCCTTCCTAGCATCAGTGTGAACATGTTTTATTTAACTAAAAAAAAAAAAAGTTGAGTAAAAGTTAGTGGTTACAAACTTGAGTGTTTGTTACCTTGTAGGCTGCAAGTTAAAGAGCAAAGCAGACCATGTGTCAAAAGTAGAGTTGGAAATCTGATGATAAATGGCTGCTGGCCCTTGAGCTTGGCTTTTGGGAAGACTCTGAGGACAGCTACTGCTGTCCGGAGCCAGCCTCTGGGTGGCATGAGTCATTATGGGTACCTAGTTCAGAGTTATGTTGAAATCTTATAATTTTAAAATGTCAGCAACATTTTTGATTTTTTAAAAAACACTAAGTAGACACAACAAGACCTGCTAGTTTGTGGCCTTATGCATCTGTATATTCCATATATTCATCCATCCCAAAAATGGAATAGTGGGACACAGTATTTAAAGGAAACTGGTAAATTCTTTTGTAAAGGTAACAGTGAATTATTTTTAATGCTTTTATTTTGTACATTTTGTTTGTCTTTTATATTTATCTAAAATGTGTTTTTAAAATATCACGGGGTATGGAGGATTAGCAATATAATTTTATTATCCTTCTGTTCTTAATAATATAGAGCTTTTTCTTTAAAGTGATAATAATTCCTTTGGTTTTTTTTGAAGCAAACATTGCTTTATAAGGTATGTTGTACATGTCAGTGTTCATTGTGACTGAGCAAGGGTTACTACCTCCATAGTTCACAGAGTGCCCAAATAGGACTTTTAGAGATGATAATAATAAAAGAAAGTACGGTGCTGGTGATCTATAGAATGACATTCAGATATTAGATACAGTTGATGAAGGAAACCAAATGCCTTTATTTAACCTAATAGTAAGCTCAGCTTGAAGAAAAAAATACGAACATTCAGGTATATAATACATGTTGTATCTTTTGCATTGCTTTGGAGTTCCATTTGTAGGTATGGTTTTATATTTTTATTTATTTTTTTAATACTTCAGCATTTTTATAAATAGGGACATTGAAAAAACATAGCCAGATATTAATTATACTAGTATCACTTCATTAAAATTAACACTGTTTTCTTAATGTCAGTATCTAGCAAGTGGTCAAATTTTAATTGTCCCAAATTCCATGAATTTTTTTAAAAGATTTATTTATATTTAGAGAGAGGGGAAGAGAGGGAGAAAGAGAAGGAGAGAAACATCAATGTGTGGTCGCCTCTCACGTGCCCTCCACCAGGGACCTGGCCTGCAACCCAGGCATGTGCCCTGACTGGGAATTGAACCGTTGACCCTTTGGTTCTCAGGCTGTCACTCAATCCACTGAGTCATACAAGCCAGGACCCCTGAATGGTTTTTATAACTGTTTGAATCAGCTTCCCAATAATGCTCATTTATGACTATGGGTTGACATGTTTTTTTAAGTTTCTTTTGCATTGGTAGGCTTCTCCTTCCATCTCTCTTCTGTGTATTTGTTGGAGAATCTGGCCAGTGTGGATTTTGTGATTGTGTCACTGTAGTATAGTTTAACAGGTTCCTGTCTTCTGTTTCCTATAAATTAGTAGTTACATCTGTAGGCTTGGTTTGATTGAAGTTTGATTCTTGAAGGAGAGGGGTTAGCAAAACTCTTGCCAGGTGGTAGAGGGCTCTTCCAGGGGTCCCTGATGTCTTTGTTAGCAGCTGTTGATGACCAGTAGTGACTGGATTGATTAGGGATTGCAGAAAGATGATATTCTATCATTCCTTTTGAAATAATGAGCTAGTTTCTTAGCATCTTCTAGTAGTAGTCAAAATGTTTTTATGCATTTGTTGATAAACATTTTACAGATTTTCTGCCAAGTATTCAAGCTTCATATGTTGAAGGCAGGAGAATTTTCCTGTAAGTGCCAGCCACATACCATCTTTGAAAAGCCCTCTTGAAGTAGTATAACCAACTGAGAGATAGAGGAATGAAACTACAGGCCCAGAGTCCCTTTTCCAAAACCCTTGGGACTAACTGTGTTTCCACTCTACCCCAGCCATTAAATACTTCTCTTGTTGGCAATATTCCATCTGTATTGTCACTTATTTGTGTCCTCCATTTGTGATGCCCTTCACCCAGCCTTCCCTCATATTAGCATCTCCCACAATCACAGTGTATTTACGTAACTCATGATCATGGCCACTGTTCTATTACATGGACTGCAGGCTTTATTTGCATTTGGCCAGTTTCCTACCTAGTGTCTTTTCTGTTCCTGCATTGCATTTTGTTGTCATGATACCTTAACCTTATCCAGTCTGTGTCTGTTCCTCAACACATCCTTCCTTTCATGATGCCTATGAAGAGTGCCAGTTCCCTAGTTTGGAATGTCCCTCCATTTGGATTTGTCTGATATTTTCTCTTGGTTTGATTGAAGTTACGGACCTTTTGAAGCCAAAGTGAGGTATCCTCATTGCATTTTAACAAGGTACATATAATCAACATATAACAGATAATACTAACCTTGATCAGGCTTAAGGTATTATCTGCCAAGTTTTCCCATTGTGAAGTTACCATTTTTTTCCTGTAATTAATAAATATTTATTTTGAGGTAGGTATTTTGAGATGGTATGTAGATCTTGAGGGTCTGTAAGAGCACCCTCATTTTTCTGCCCATTTGATGATCTCCAAGGCCAAAGCTTCACTTATTTTCTAGAAGGGCTCAGAACTCATGATTATGGTTTATTGCAGTAATAAAACAACACAGAACAAAATCAGCCACAGGAAGTGGGGCATATGGCAGGGTGTAGGACAGTTCCTAGATCGAAGATTCAAGTTGACCTGTCCCTGGAGTTGTGGACAGTGCTAACTTCTCCCACTGTGTGACAACACACAGGGTATTGCCAGCCAGGGGAGTTCACCTGAGTCTTGCTCTCCAGCTATTGAGCAGGGCCCCAGGGCCTCCACCATAAGTCACATTGTTAGACTACTTGGAGTGGTACAGGGCCCACAGGTAAACAAACACACCTATCAGATAGGACATTCCAAGGACCTTGAGATTCATTCTCAGGAGCCTGGAGTGAAGGCCATACCTCACCTTGGGCAAGGTTAATCCATTTCCACACACTGTGCAGATACCTTGTTCCTCTTTCAGCCTCTCACTAAGTCAACACTCAGGGGTAGATTTACCTGTGGTATTATTACTGTCGTGTTCTAAAGGTGATTTCCTGTTTCCTTCATTTCTTGTACATTTATTAATTAGAATTTTCGTATAAAGAAGAGTTGTCCCTTCTCTCCCATTTATTTATTTATTTATTCAGTTACATCAGTATGGATGCAACGGTATTTATTTTATCCTTTAGGTTATTATAATTGATACTGTATTTTTAAAAACTTTTTATTGTTTAAGTACAGATGTCTCCATTTTCCCCCACCCCTCTCCCCACCCCTTAATATTGTATTATAGCCATTATTATCAGTATTGTATTATAGCCATTATTATCAGTATTTATTTTGATGCTCAAATTGTTCCAGCTTTGGCCACTGGTAGCAGTTTTGGTTGGATTCTTATGTCCTTTCAACATGCCCCCATCCTGGTGTTTTAAGGAGACACTTCCTACTTTTTGGTTCCACCAGACTTGTCTTACATTATCCCTACCTTAGTCCTGGAGTCTTTCACTCTCCAAGGAGCCCTGTTCCTTTTATTGGAGAGTGATACCAAACTGAGGTCTAGGGTGTAGGTGTGCTTGTTGATGCCTGCTACCAGGGTATCATTGCATCTAGGCTCTCTTGGCAGACACTGCTAGGATGTATATTTATGCCTTATATTGGGTTGGCCAAAATGTTCGTTTAGTTTTTTCTGTACGATGGCTCTAGTAATGCTTAGTTGTCTTTAACTTCATTCAAAACAATTTTGTTAGCTTGTATTGTGACAGCTGTCATATCAGCATGCATTTAAAAGTTTATCAAAATTGTTCCATTTTTCTGCAGTCCTTTTAATTGAAGATGGAAGAATATACAGAACATTTTTTACATATTATGCTTTATTATTTCAAGAAAGGTAAAAATACAACTGAAATGCAAAAAAAAGATCTGCGCGGTATATGGAGAAGGTGCTGTGACTGATAAAATGTGTAAAAAGTGGTTTGCAAAGTTTCTTGTCACTACTGACATTTTGTCCAAGTAATTCTTTGCTGTGGGGATGTCTTATACATGGGAAGATGTTTAGCAGTACCCCTGTCTTCTACCTACTGGAAGCCAATAGTGGGAAATAACCAACATACTCCAAATCAATAAAGTTATTTGGTAAAAATGAAAAATATGTCCAAATCACTGGACATATTTGTCCAAAAATATTTTTGTCCAAAAATATGCTCAAATGAAAAATATGTCTTTTATTTTATGGAAAAGAACTAAACAGACTTTTTGGCTAATCCACTATAATGTTACATATATCAATAGAATATATTAACCTGTACTAGCTATGCTTTAACAGAATATTTCACATTTTCGAACAGAAATATGGTACATATGTTCTGTATTTGTTAACATGCCTAGTTACTACATTGGCATTTTTCGGTGAAATATATTCATGTAAATGGGATCTTCTAAGATTATAAGTAGCTTCGTGTGTGTTACTGCTAACTTATTTTTGGCACCAAATTTAACAGGGGAAATGTAGATTTTGGAACTTCCTGGATTTGGGGGTTGTAGTATAATAAGTCCAGGAACAGTGAGGTTGCAGGTTAACAGGACTATTAGTGGAATTAAGTAATTTGAACATAGTCCGGACTTCACATTGTCAGTGTAGTGAAGTCCAAAGTGCATGTGCTGATTCTTAGAAAATGTGTAATCTAAGTGATTTGAAAAATAAGGTATAGGGTCTAATATTTAAGATCCTTCCCATTGGGTTACTCTTCAGTGTACAAAATAAAAGTGTGCCATTTTTTTATCTTCACTATTGAGGTCCCCCCTCAAAATAAACCAAGAATATTTTCTCAGCGTAAAAAGTAAAGAGACTTTTGTTCTTGAAGCTGATAGTAAAATGAACTTTAAAAAAGTGCAACCAATTTTAGAACTATAAACATCTGTATTATATAAACATCTATTTTCTGCACTCTAACAGTAGGGAGAAGGAAAGAAAACAGTGCTTACTGGAAGAGACAGTAAACAGCAAAACACACGTTACAGGAGTCGTACAGTAAAAATGTAAACAAGTGTGAGTCCCCTGACTTTTAAAATTTTTTTGACTTGAGTCAAAGAGCAGAATTCCAACTTTATGTTGTCTAGAAGAGGCACCTTTTGGATATAAATATTTAGGAATGTTAAAATTAAGATAAGAAAACAAAAGAAAAGCCAAAGTCACAAAGTAGAGGCTACTATTAGTATTACTTTTTTTTTTATTCCTCACCTGATGATATGCTTATTGATTTTAGAGAGAGGTGAAGAAGGGTGGGAGAAAGAGAGGAAGAGAAACATTGTTTGGTTGCCTCTTGTACATTCCATGACTGGGACTGAACCTGAAACATAGGCATGTGCCATGACTGGGAATTGAACCCGTGATCATAAACTGCTGGTGACCTTTGGTTTGTGGGACAGTGCTCCAGCCAACTGAGCCACACCAGCCAGGGCAATACTACTAGTATTAAAAGTATACAATTTAAAGACTTGGCGCAGAGAAGATTTACCTTGTTTTGGTTGCTCTCCACATGTGCTCAACAGCAGAACTATAAAAGACTTCAGGCCATTTATGTGAATATTTATATGAAGGCTTACATTATCAAACATTAGAAAGTAAAACCGAATGGAAATCTAGGATTGGATAAATAAAAACCAATATCTGAAGTGGTTAATTAACTAATTTACAGATGAAGCAGAAAAAGATACAAAAGATGTTTGCACTGGGAGTAATAAAGTTGATTCAATAGATCCTATTCCATGAACATGGAATATTTATAGAAATTAAACTGAACAAATTAGGCTATCAGAATGCATTACAAAATTGTTAGGCAAAAATCCCCAGCCTGATAGTGTATGTATTTGACCATACTGTGATAAAATAGAAAGTAAACATTACTTGGGAAACAAAAGAAAACCTATCAAATTCTTGGGTAAAAGAGGCAATAAAAGCTCATTACAAATGCTTATAGAAGAAATGGACAGACTTCCACCAAGATGGAGGCATAGGTGGAGACACCATGCTTTCTCACACAACCAAGTTTAGAGACAACAAAATTTTAGCAACAAAAAACATAGCCAGAATACAAAAAATTGAACTTTTCAGAAGTCCTATAACGAATTCTTCAGCCTGACCGTGTCACAACCCAGCGACCTGAGCAACCCTGCCCTGGTGAACACCTAAGGCTTCGCTCCTCACCCAGCGGCAGGGAGTAGGACAGGGGGATGCCATCTCCCCACTCTGACCCCACCACCACATACAGCGTCACAACCCAGCGACCCTGCCCTGGAGGCCCCGCCCCACCCCGCCCCTACGGCTCCACTCCTCATACTTAATGGACGGGAACAGACCAAAAATGGCTCAAGAAGATCTCAAAGCCCCAGAGCCCATAAATCTAAGTGACAAAGAAATAGCAAAACTTTCAGATGCATAGTTCAAAACACTGGTGATCAGGATCCTCACAGAACTGATCGATTTTAGTCACAAATTAGAGGAACATATGAACGCTGAACTAATTGAAATGAAGGGGATTGCACAGGAAACCAATAGTGATGAAAAGGACACTGGGACTCAAATCAAGGGAGTGAACCAGAAGGAAGAAAAAAATGACCAAACAGAAAAGAATGAAGAAACAAGAATTCAAAAAAATGAGGAGAGACTCATGAACCTCCAGGACATCTTTAAATGCTCCAACATCCGAATTATAGGGGTACCAGAAGGGGGAAAGGAACAGCCACCAGTGGAAAACTTATTTGAACAAATAATAAAGGAGAATTTCCCCAATCTGGCAAAGGAAATAGACTTCCAGGAAATCCAGGAAGCTCAGAGAGTCCCAAAGAAGTTGGACCCAAGAAGGAACACACCAAGGCACATCATCATTATATTAGCCAAGATGAAAATGAAGGAGAGAATCCTAGAAGCAGCAAGAGATAACGGGACAGTCACCTACAAAGGAGTTCCCATCAGACTGTCAGTTGATTTCTCAAAAGAGACCCTACAGGCAAGAAGGGGCTGGAAAGAGGTATTCCAAGTCATGAAAGGCAAGGACCTACATCCAAGATTGCTCTATCCAGCAAAACTTTCATTTAGAATAGAAGGACAGATAAAGTGCTTCTCAGATAAGATCAAATTCAAGGAGTTCATCACCAAGCCCTTATTATATGAAATGGTAAAGGGACTTATCTAAGAAAAAGAAGATAAAAGATATGAACAGTGAAAGGACAGCAAACTCACAGTTATTAACAACCACACCTAAAACAAAAGCAAACTAAGAGGACAGCTAGATCAGGAGCAGAACCATAGAAATGAAGATCTCATGGAGGGTTAGCAACAGGGGAGTGGGAGAAGGAGAAGGGGGAGAAGGTACAGAAAATAAGTAGCATAGATGGTAGGTAGAAAATAGATGGGAGGGCAAGAATAGTATGGGAAATATAGAATCTAAAGAACTTGAGACACATGGTCATAAACTAAAGAGGGAATGGTGGGGGTGAGTGGTGCAGGGTAGAAGGGAATGAAGGGGGGAATAGAACAACTGTAATGGCATAATCAATAAAATAAAAATTTTTAAAAAAAGAAGTGGACAGCCAAGTGGTTTTATGTTTGAACTCTTGAGCAAGCGTTTTCTCTGTGCTTCAGTTTTCTCCTTTGTAAAATAGTAATAGAAGCAGCTATATTGGATTCTTGTGGGGAATAAGTGAGATAATACAGGTAAAGTGCTTACAAGCACTCCAAATCTCAGCTACTTACTGTTGTTAAGGATGAAAGATAGGGGATATGGCTAAAGCCAGACAGAAGTTTATGCAGTGCTTGTCTTCCTATTAAGTAAGAGAGAGGAAGTTAAGTGGAATAAACTTATTTCAGGTGGAAGAACAAATCTAAGAAGAATCAGAAATCTGAATTTTGATGCTTAAGTGTGACAACCTATTCAGTGTGGACCAAACAAAAAATCTTTATGTGTATATAACTCCTAGCTTGTCAGTTTCTACCTCTGAGCAATATCACCAAGAAAAAAAAAGTATAAGTGAATTTCACAGATTCAAAAAATAAGTATCATTAAAACTCTATGATAATAAATTAGAGTGCTTGCAACAAAATGCACACTTTCTAGGAAAACAAAGTATCATTATTCAAAAATAAAAACTGTGGGTAAAGTTAGTATTTCAGAGTCTCATGCTTGCCTGTTACACAGTTTCTCCTTGTCCATATGTGTAGTAGCCGCTGTTCTAGTGTTTTTGTGGAAAATAGGAAACTCCTTGTGATCTGGGTACAAAGCCTGACAAGGATACCCCATGAAAGGAGAGCTGTACATTGATGTTTATGACAATTGATGGAAATGTTCTCAAAACACATAGGATCTGGCAATGAATTTAATATTCTGACTAGTAGGGTTTAGAGCCATAGCTTGAGGACATTTCACTGTTTTCACTCTGTTTATCACAATAGGTTGGTGAAGAACTTTATTATTTTTCTCAGGATTCTATATTTATTTTAAAAATTGATATCCATTACTGATGGAAATAGAATGTAGTAAAAATTCTGAATCCCAAACCAAGAGCCAGTATAACTACTTAATGGTGAGTTAGCAGACACTCTACGTGTGTGCAAGAATTATATTTGTTACCATTATCACCCTTGGTATTTAATTTTGTTCTTGAGTTTCTTGCCATTGAAATAAAGTAAAAAAGAGAAAAACTATAAGGAGGAGACATACAATAATTTGGATATTATTTGTTTGTTTATTAGAAAACTCAAAAGAATCAGCCCTGGGTGGTGTGGCTCAGTGGATTGAGTGCTGACCTGTGAACCAAAGGGTCACTGGTTCAATTCCCAGTCAGGACACGTGCCTGGGTTGCAGTCTGGGTCCTTGGTGATGTGCATGAGAAGCAATAACACATTGATGTTTCTCTTCCTCTTTTCCTCTCTTTCTCTCTCCCTACCCCTCTTTCTAAAAATAAATAAAATCACTTTTTTAAAGAAAATTCAAAAGAATCAACTGAAAAATTAGAACTTAAAGGATATTTAAATGGCCAGTTTTAAAGTAAAGGTATAACCATTTGCAGTGTCCTGTGTGGCTCCAGGAGCTAATTAGGAAATACAATGGATAAAATACCTCATTCACAATAGCAACAAAAATTACAAAGTATCAAGAAGGAAATTTCACAAGTGAGCAGGACCTGAGTGGAGGAGACATAAAACCTGATGGAAAAGGAGACAAGGCAACTCCTTTCTTCTGATACATATCCCTGCTGGGGGCCTGAAACAACACAGATACCACTGCTTGCATTCTGATTGGGGGGGGGGTGAGGTTGGAGCATTTGATAAACAAGAAAAAACTAAATCAGATGGTAAATGTGAATAAAATGAGAATAAAATGTGATGGACTCTACTTTTAAAATGGTAGATGCCTCAAAGAAGGTGACATGGAGGAGGTGAGGAAGGGAGCACCTGGGCAGAACTAATGAGCCCCTTAGGCTGGAGGGTGCTGTCGGTAGAAAGGCCTTTGTTAGTAGAGCCAGGCAGCCTAGGGGAGAATTTTTGGGAAGTGGTCAGAGAGCTTCTGGGAGGCAGGCTGTTTAGGGCCTCAAGATCATTGTCAGAACTTTGGCTTTCACTCAGATGGGAAAACAGGCATAATTAGAAAAGTGACATGATATTTTTTAAGGGATTGTTCTGGCTGCTCTTCTGAAAAATAAAAGGCATTGGGCAATGAGAGCAGGTAGAGGTTTCTTGTAGCCCTCCAGCAAGAAATGAGGGTAGCTGGTATCAGGCTTGTCGCTCAACAGTGGGTAGAGTCGCCAACAGCTGTGGGTTTTGTGAGAGAAGTCATTGCAGACATGCTAACTCTTCCCATGATATTTTATATTTTAATACAGTTCCATTTGAAATTCCTGACAGATTTCAGAGCAATTGTGAAGAAGCTATGCGTAAGGACTTATAAGGAAACATGGAGAAACTAGCATATAGGATTTGCACTGTGCTTGTTAGGGCATCTCACAAGCTACAGTTAAAACTCATTGTGCTGGTGACCTATAGGCAGACAGGTCACCAAATCTACACACACTGAGACACAGGCCTAAGACCACAAACCTCTGTGTGTATAAAGGTGGCTCTTTCAATCATTTACAAATGAGTGATGACCTTTTGGGAAAAAATATATAAAAATTCCCCACAAGATAAAGAATAAAGATGAGCGATTTAAGGGATTTTTTTTTAAACATGGAAAGCTGAAATAATAGCCAACACTTTGTTCTCTTCTGTGTGCTTTATGTGTATTACCTCATATTGGATCTTTAAATATAACCTTCTAAGGCAGGGGTGTCAAACTCATTTTCACTGGGGGGCCACATCAGCTTTGTGGTTGCCTTCAAAGGGCCGAATGTAATTTTATGACTATGTAAATATAACTACTCCTTAACTAGGCAAGGAGCTTGGCACTGCTGCCCGTAAGAAACAAGGTGCCAGACCGGATAAAACAAGGTGGAGGGCCAGATTTGGCCCGTGGACCTTGTGTTGGCCACATTTGTGTTCTAAGGTAAGACTGTTAGTACTGGACCTTTCTGCAACTAGGCCACCAAGGCCCCTCTCCCCAGCTCACTCACTGCTCAGAGGTTACGTATGTCCATAGGGAGACAGAGGCATGGGCTTTGAAGACTAATTAACATCGAAAGGTTTCTAAATAAGCAGAAACTATGAAATGATAAGAAAGATGACCACCCTTGTAAAAAACTGATAACGGTATATGAGCCAACACTGTGCAGAAGGCTGCTGACAAATGAGCAAGTGTCTTAGCCATAAGCCAACAGAGTATGCTTGGACCTCAGAGGTGAGGAAGGAAACCCAGAGCTTGCATAGGTGTGCAGGGGGCAAATTCTCATGCTTTGCTGGTGAGAGCCTCACTGGGGATGACATTCCTGGGGTGGGGTCACTTGATAATGTTTTGAAGAGCCAGAGAATATGCATAATGTTCAATCTTGCAATAACATTTTTGGAATTTATCTCAAGGAAGTATTCAGGTAAATGTGCCAGCTGCAGCTCTGTGTGGAAGTGTGTGTTATTGAATATTTATAACTCAAATGTCCAGTAAAGGGGCACACTTTGTGTGTATTTTTGTTAAGTCCATGTTTGTAAGAAAAGCTGGGTATGTTGATGTGTGTATTTTTATAGAAACAAAAGTGGTAGAATTAATGTTAATGCAAGGATAGTGGTTTTTTTACTTTATGGATTTTTAAATCATTATTTTTTTACTTAAAATATAGTAACTATATAATTTAAAAATGAGTATTAATACTACACCTCCCCCATTTACATACTGAGAACTAGAGCAGCTGTGTCCCATGAGTGGAGCACACAGCAGAAGTTTCTTAAGTTGGACCTGCAGCACTTGGGAGTGCTCCCCATATATCTCACCAATAAACTGAGAAATGTAGTCTAGAATCAGTTTCCCTTCCTAGAAGGGAGTGGGGCTTGAGAGCAACAGGAAACAGGCAAGGGCCTGGCATCATGGGTCAGGGGCAGCTCTGTGGCTCCTTGACTTTAGCCCAGGTCAGCTTGTCCAACACTGGAAGATAGGCATGTGGGCAGAGGGTGAGGTGAGACTACTGCACTTGGTGCTGCTGGTCAGTCCATGTTCCTGGAATGTTAGAGTGAATAATTGGGTTGAAATGAGCCCTGAAATTAGGTTAGTGATCTACTTTTTAAAATACATATATGGACTTTTTTTACATTAAAACACAAATCTTTGTGCATGTGAGTTACAAAGTTGCTCCCTTTCGTTCCTGTTGCTGCTGTGATGAAAGCAGAAGGACCATGCTGAGGAGGACAGGAAGAGTGCCCTGGTATGGCTGTCAGTTAACTAGGAAGTTACAGCAAGCAATTGTGACTTTTTTCCAAAAGAGAATTCTAGTAACCTTCACATGGACATTGAATGTAAAGGCCAGTGTGGTTTATGAATGGTGTCATGAAGCAACCCCCCCCAGTGGGTGTGGATGAGGAGTCTTGACTACAGATCCAGAAACACCGCCCTAGCAATGTGGAAGAAAATGTGTCATCATCACTCAGGGCTTTTTACACCCTGTAGGCCCTGTTTAGGCACCTTGGGGCAGATGTAGCCTGTGATTGGGGAAGGAAAGTGAATTTGAACTATTGGTGACATGGGTGGGGGGGCGTCTACTCTGAACTCTTCTTTAGATGAGGGATGTGTTGGCTTCACCTGGCCATGATAGTTCCCTGTGCTGACCTTCACGTTCCTGGGCTTAGAGCCCTTCAGGCTAGGTAAGCACAGCTTTGGAAAGCTACTCAGAGAGTGAGCCTTTTGCAGTAGACTCATGGGCAAGATCATATTCCTCTCTGGTCATTGATCCCTCAAGTGCAAGGATTATGTCTGTTCATGGACTCCAGCTATGGTTTTAAAGGCAAGCATAGCTGGAGATCTCCCATAGTGTAGTAAAAGAGTTTGGTGACAGTAACCTTCCTATTGTTTGGGTGGAAAATTGTGACTCCTCTCTCTGAACAGGCTCTGAGTTGAGGTGTCCAGTTGAAAGCTCTCATCAGCAGGTCTCTACCTTTTATACAGAGGAGGTCTCTGTTTAACCAAAATTGTAATCAGCTTTGCTACACATTGAAGAGCTTTGCTCTCCATGTGACCCATGGTGACAGTGCCAAGTGGCGGTGCCTACAGATTCAGAGCGCTAATTCTGGAGTCAGGAATGGGGACAGGTCTGCTCCTCTGGATACAGTGACCTTGGGCAAGTGTCCAGCCTCTGGTTGCAGCAGCATCCTCTGTGAAAGAGAGACAATGTGGGAGCTGCCCTTCTAGATGGTTGTGAGAGTCACATGCAAAGATTCTTACAAAACATTCAATCGAAGGCTAATGAGAGCCCCAGTGATAGGTTTAATTAAATGTATGTTTTGCTTATCACATCTCCTGTATGTTCATTTAATGTTTTTGTTGGAGCAGAATAAGGAAGACAGTGGCAGGGCTTTGTGTGTATTTTTAGATCCTGTCCCTGAGAGCTTACCTGACAAAATTAGGTATTATGACCTTAGGCAGAATCCCTGCTCCATGTGGGCTTGCTCTCCTTGCTCCCTAAAGCCTGACCCACCATTCTCTGCCTGATGAGTACTCAAGTGGTCCTGAGCTGCTGACAATGCTCGGACATACGCAGTCCTGCAGCCTGCCCTCGTTTCTCTGTTACTCTGAGAGCTCCTGTTAATCCTTTCTATGTGCCATTTGACTTTCCCATCCGTGGAGACTGCTTCTCAGACTCAGCCAGGGTTGGCTGGTGAGAACATTGATAGGACACTAGGCAGAGGGAAGAGGGGGAACCAGTTCCTCGTTTGTGCTCTGCTTTTTTAGGAATTCTATGATAATGCTCATGTCTCCTATGGTTTTAGTTCTTGCTGGGTTGCCCTTGATGTCATTCTGGATCCTATACACTGTCCCTCTTTCTGGACTTGTGTGCTATTGCTTTCCTGGTGTGCCCATCTGGCTGTTTGTTTGTTCCTTAGTGCACTGTCACTGATGTACTGCATTGTGTGCATGAAGTCCCTCTGAGTGCAATAAGCTAGAGTGTTCCTGTAGTCCTGATGGGACCCTGACAGCTCCCCTAACTAAAAACAGTTTGTCAAGGGCGATTGCCTACATTATGGCACTACAGTATCCCCCAAACCTTGCTCAGGTCTCTTGGCAGTAACCCCCTCATGGTTCCCAGAGTACCCTGTATTCCTTCATCATTGTATTTTGATTGTGGGTTTGTCTGTATGACCCTGAAAAACATACATATCTGCATTTACAACACACCAGCCATTGGAAGCTCCATGGTAAGGCTCATCATTATTAGCACAGTATACAGTGTAGTAAACAGTCAGTATTTATAGAAAGAACGTAAACAGGTTGCTGGTAACTGGGCACATTACAATAAAAACCATTCAGTTAGCCCACTTCAGTGCTAAACCTGACAGGTATGACCACTAATTAAATGGTACCCAGTATTGTTCAGAGTTCCTTCCATCTGTTAGCACCTGGAGTCCTTACAGTACCAGTACCCCATTTTCTGGATGAGGAACTTAAGGCATATAGAGATTAACTTGATGGGATCTACATAGCTAGTGGCTGACCAGACCAAGAGTCAAACCCTCAGCTGCATAAAACACATGGGAACTATCACTGTCATGTAAAGTGTACCTGGAACTCCCAAGTAATTAAACTAGCACTTGGACTCTGGGTCATTAGGACTTGTCCAAGGTTCTGGGTGGGTGGGGTTAGACAGCTCTCAGCATGATCTGCTACATGAGAAGACCAAAGGAGAACCACATTCTCTTTCCTGATAGCAAAAAAAGCAGCCAGTAATTTCTCATCACTGTTGTTTTTTGGTTTTTTTTTTAAATCACAAACCTTAATCAACTCTGAACCAAAAGCATTTCCCTAATAATGGAGAGCAAGTCAGACTAATAGTGTCAGTGGAGAGAAGTGTTTATGTTACAGTCTGGAGAAGAGGCAACCAAACCAACAATGCAATGATTGGGTACTTTTATAGGAGGTTTAGAGAAAATAGGGAATCAAATAGAAAGGAAGCAGTGATTATCAATGACAGTGATCAGGTTTAGAAAATCTAAGGGAATAGACTCTAAGTAGAAATAAAGATAAATAGGCAGCTAATTGTATAATGAGTATTTATGTATATCATCACATTAGTAGCTTTAAACTAAAAAAGACTAAATCTTCAGATGGCAATAAAAACAATAAAGCATCTTGGGATCACCAGTGACAAATATATACTGGGCCTGGATGAGGTCCTGCTTAAGGACCTCAGTTCTTATTAATTTACATCTTTGTTCAGTTTATTTAAGATCCCAAAGGAACAGAGACTTCCGCCAAGATGGAGGCATAGGTGGATGATAAGCTGTGCCTTCTCACACAACCAAGTTTAGAGACAACTAAATATTAGCAACATAAAACACAGCCAGAACACAGAAAATTGAACTTTTCGGAAGTCTGTTAACAACAAATTCTTCAGCCTGACCGGTAAGAGGGGCAAAACCAGCAGCTGGTGGAGCGGGGTTGCACAGGAAAACTCTGTCGGACGGACTCAGGCGCACGGAATCCAGGCGCAGGGTTGGACCTAGTGAGCGACTGAGCAAGTGACCAAGCGAGCGACCGCAGGGAAACAGCGAAGGAGCAGGGCTGCGGGTTGACTGTGGTCGCGCATTGGTGCGCTGATAGACAAGCGAGGAAGTGGGCGATTGGACCGGGACCCAGCGGGTCCCCACAGCAAGCGGCAGGGAGGGCACCGCCATTTTCCTGCTCTGACCCCACCTCCACATACAGCGTCATAACCCAGCAACTCTGAGTGGCCCAGCCCAGGTGAACCACCTAAGCCTCTGCTCCCCACCCAGGGGCACTAAACGGCAGAGGGTGCCGCCATTTCCCCGCTCTGGTCACGCCCCCACATACGGCCTCACAACCCAGCGACCTGGTAGTCTAAGGCTCCGCTCTTCACACTTAAAGGGCACGAACAGACCAAAAATGGCTCAAGAAGATCTCAAAGCCCCAGAGCCTATAAATCTAAGCGATGAAGAAATAGCAGAACTCTCAGACGCACAGTTTAAAACACTGGTGATCAGGATCCTCACAGAACTGGTGGATTATAGCCAGAAATTAGACAAATATATGAAGGCAAAACTAATTGAAATGAATGGAATTGCACAGGAAACCATTAGCAATGAAAAGGAAGCTGGGACTCAAATCAATGGAGTGGACCAGAAGAAAGCAAATAATAGCCAAACAGAGAGGAGTCAAGAAGCAGGAATTCAAAGAAGTGAGGAGAGGCTTAGGAACCTCCAGGACATCTTTAAATGCTCCAACATCCGAATTATGGGGGTGCCAGAAGGGGGAAAGGCACAGCCACCAGTGGAAAACTTATTTGAACAAATAATAAAGGAGAATTTCCCCAGTCTGGCAAAGGAAGTGGACTTCCGGGGAAGTCCGGGAAGCTTGGGGAGTACCAAAGAAGTTGGACCCGGGAAGGAACACACCAAGGCACATCATCATTACATTAGCCAAAATTAAAATGAAGGAGAGAATCCTAGAAGCAGCAAGAGGTAAGGGGACAGTCACCTACAAAGGAGTCCCCATCAGACTGTGTCAGTGGATTTCTCAGGGGAGACCTTACAGGCAAGAAGGGGCTGGAAAGAGGTATTCCAAGTCATGAAATCCAAAGACCTACAACCAAGATTGCTCTATCCAGCAAAACTTTCATTTAGAATGGAAGGACAGATAAAGTACTTCTCAGATAAGATCAAATTCAAGGAGTTCATCATCACCAAGCCCTTATTATATGAAATGTTAAAGGGACTTACCTAAGAAAAAGAAGATAAAAAAGATGAACAGTGAAAGGACAACAAACTCACAGTTATTAACAACCACACCGAAAACGAAAGCAAACTAAAAGGACAGCTAGATCAGGAGTGGAAACATAGAATTGAAGATCTCAAGGAGGGTTAGCAACAGGGGAGTGGGAGGAGGAGAAGGGGGGAGAAGGTACAGAAAATAAGTAGCATAGACAGTAGATAGAAAATAGATGGGGCAAGAATAGCATGGGAAATATAGAATCTAAAGAACTTGAGACACATGGACATAAACTAAAGGGGGGGTAATGGTGGGGATGGGGGGGTTGGGTGGAGGGGAATGAAGGGGGGGAATAGAACAACTGTAACAGCATAATCAATAAAAAAAAAATTAAAAAAAAAACATCCCAAAGGAACTTAAAAGGAAAAAAAAAACTAGTTTTAAGTTCATCTAGAAGAATAGTGAGAATCTCCATGCAGGCTTTGGAAAAAAATAACAGTGGGGCGGGGACACTGCTGTGCTGTGATCTAGGCAGAGAAATGCTGGTGATGAAAGCCTGGCTGGTGGCCTGGAGGAGAGCTGGTCAGCAGGACCAATGGGGACAGCTGGTGCGGGTGCACAAGTCATTAAGCAGAGGACTAGTGTTCAGTAAATTGTTCCAATGTTAGTTTACTCTGAAAAAAATGAATTCATTTTTATGTACTGTCTCCATAGCTTCACCACCTAGAGAAAACCACTTCTAATGTTTCCATGTTAAACATTTCACTATGTGTATAAACTATACTTGTTACTTAATTTTGAAGAAACAACACAATTTTGTCTGCTTCTTACTGTTAATATGAATATTTTTCATTGTGAATAAATATATTTTATGGTACATCTTTTTAATAGCTGTGTAGCAGCTAGTCCTGGTCAGGTGGCTCAGTTGATTAGAGTGTCATCCTGATATGCCAGGGTCACAGGTTTGATCCCTAGTCTGGGCGCATACAAGAACCAACCAGTGAATGCATAAATAAGTGGAACAACAAATCTGTTCCTCCCTCCATCCATCTCTCTCTCTCTCTCTCTCTCTCATTCACTTGGCAGATCCCAGCTCCTGGGGTCCGAGATGTTATGGACGAAGAAAGACAAATTCACTTGGACTACCGAGTCCTGTGGAGGAAAAGGGATGGCCTAGCTTCTCTTTCAAGAGAAGAAAAAGCCTTGGTGCACCTTGACCACTCTCGAGAGAAAAACACCTTGACCTTTGCCTTGACAGACTTATTAGATTCAATTTGCACAGGAATACAGGGTATATATATGTAAAGCTCATCAATCATTGTAAGGCAGAAATGATTAAACAATAGATAACATTCATAGAACTCTGAGGGCCTATTCTGAGTCAGAGTCAGATAGTTAAAGGGCCATAAAACTTTGGGGAACAAATTCACTTCCTGTTTGGACCCTTATCATTTAAATTGAAGGTATTAACAAGGTAGGTTTCATAGGATTTTATGCATTTTTTCTTAGGCCTGATCACCCCAGGGAATCCGCCCTTTCCAGCACAGGGCCACACCCACCTCCAGCATTGTTTCAGGTTTAAGGCATTATTTCAAGCTTAAATTAGGCAGGGGAAGTAAGGCAGCCAAGAGATTAGGAGACTTCTTGCAGACAGAATGAGGACTCAGGCTATGGTCAAAGCTGAGGGGTTATTCAGGACCATGCCAGTCCTCCCTCTTTTGAGGAATCTTACCTGTCATTGGTTAACCAGGGGCCAAGCAGGGTGAAAGGAAAGGGAGCAGAGGTGGTGCCCCTACAAGGAAGATAAGCTTTGTCTGCTAAGTGGCTCATGGTCCCACATCCTTTGCTCAGCCTTAGCCATGGGGGGATTACAACTTCTGAAACCAGGTAGGGCAGTTCCCAGCAACTCACTCACTCACTTCCCCTCCCTCCCTCTCCCCCATACCTCTCTTCCTCTCTCTAAGGTCAATAAATTTAAAAATTTTTAAAATAAAGTAGCTGTGTAGTACCGAACATCAGAAATTGAGAGAATTAAGCCTCAGTACCCTCCACCATCTACAATATATAATGAGTCAACTATCTCATCCTCAGAAATGGGAAGTTACTGAAGTAGTTTGCTGTGTTCTGTGATTCAATGAGGAGCCCAGTAGAGAAAGTGCACATAAAGGAAAAGTTATCAGACACACCCCTCTCCTCCACCCCCATACACCAGATTGAGGAAAGGGAGGCATCTGAGCCAGTGGTGTGTAGGATAGAGGGCTAAGCGCTCTTGAAGCCTGAGCCATTTTCAGTGCACATTTCTCCCTGAGAATAAGGATAATGGGTACTTGTGTTGGCACTGAATTCTCCTGTAGTTGTCAGTATAGGGGCATTTTTAGGAGGTGTCCACAGTGGTAGGGCTGGTGTCCATGCAGCACTTCTGAGCCCAGTTGTGTCCCGCTGGCCTCACTTAGTTCTCATAGTGGCTCTATGAAGTGATAACCTGCTGTGCTTCCATTCCAGGAGTTGTCAGTGGGAGCTCAGGTCACATGACTGCATGGTCCAGCTCACTTTGCTATTTATTATCCATAGGATTGTTTTTTTAGATCTACTTACCAGAAATTTCCTTGGTGGTAGGATTTATACTTCTTTCCCTACTGTTTAAAGATGTCTAGCACAAGTCAGTGTTTTAGATCAATGTTAAAAATATAAAAGCAAAATTCATTTCAGTGTGAAGATTACCTTGCTCTATACGGGGCTGGGGATTTCCACTATAAGAAAGGAATTTTTTATTTTTCTTGTGATTGGTTTATTAACTGGGTCATGTTATATTTAGTACTGTGACTTTTTTTACTATTGAGGACTCTGATAAGTGGGGTTCCATGTAGAGACCACCTGTTTGCTTTAGCATGCTTTGAAGCATCCATAGATGGAGAGTCTTGCTTAACAAAGAAGTGTATAATTAATTTTTACTCATCTTAAATATTGATGACACAGTTCCAGATAACAAGGTGTATCATTTGGGATCATATAACAAAATGCACTGCTCTGATGGCTCCAACAATAAAGGTATTTTTTTTCCCTCTTCAGCAGGGAGACTAGTAGCCACCTGCTGGGCTGATGGATGCTTGGTGCACCTGGTGCACCGTGGGGGTCAGATACCCCTCTCTTTGATCTGGCTTCTTATTTTGCATCTCGCAGGAGCTGATGGGCAGTGTTTACCCTGATTTTGAGGACCTTGAGTGTTTGGGGAGACTTTCAAGGGGGAGGCAGGCATGGATAGTTTTCAAGGAATCAGATTTCAGATTGTCATCTTGTAAATGTAATCGTACCTAAAATTGAATTGCCTGAGAGAGTGTATTTGAGCCCAGGAGTTCTACAGATTCGGTTATCCACCTTTCCTTTTATAGCTGCCCTCTGCTTTCTAAAAAATTAGCCATGTCCCTCAACCAGGGTTTTACAGGGGTGCATGATATAGGGTGTGGATAAAAATAAAAAGAATATC